TAAACTTCCCCTTCCCCCGTCAACATCATTGTTATGTCCAATATACAAAAAGAAGACAAATGCGCTGACCAAAAATACGAAGTAAAAAAGCAAATAATATAACGTTGTTATAAGTTATAAATATAGTCACACTTTATTCAGATGGGTTCCAGTGCATTTATCGTGTGAGCAATTATTATTTCATTCCTACATGCCCAACGTGCTGTTATGCGTAGGTTAAATACGGCGTGACTAATGTGCGAACCAGAGGGCTTTCTATATCTCCTTCTTAATTTTCCTTCTTAATTAATCTAATTTTTCTTTTACTCGTTTCTTTATTCACGAGGTCATAACCTTTGTTGAAATAAATTTTGAAAAATCTCTGCAAATTATTTGATGAAATTTAGCTTTGTATAATTACATAATTGTTCAAATAGTTTAAATGTTCTAATTATAAATTTGCCACACACATGTATACATACACACCTATAAAGAAATTTTTTTTTTTCAATTGAAAAGTACGATTTGAACAAAATTCTCCCTTGTAATAGTTATACTTTCTTGCGTAATGTTGAGTGCATTTGTCAATAAGCCTAATACTTACAGGCTAACATCTTCTCCTCAAACAAGTATGAACTTAAAAAAGTATATATATATATATATATATATATATATATATATATATATATATATATATATATATATATATATATATATATATATATATATATATATATATATTTATATATATATATATATATATATATATATAAATTTATACATTTATATATATATATATATATATAAATTTATATCTATATATATATATATATATATATATAAATATATATATATATATATATATATATATATATATATATATATATATATATATATATATATATATATATATATATATATATATATATATATATATATATATATATAAATTTATACATTTATATATATATATTTATATATATATATATATAAATTTATACATTTATATATATATATATATATATATATATATATATATATATGTATATATATATATATATAAATTTATACATTTATATATATATATATATATATATATGTATATATATATATATATATATATATATATATATATCGAGCCTTTTTCGAGAAGAGAAACTTTTTTCAAACACTAAAAACTTGTTAAACACACACACACAGACCAAACAAGGCGCATTCGCCCCAGCATGTTTTTTGTATGATGTCATCATTACCTAATTTCATTTAGGTGTGCGTTTTTCGTTTCGCTGTGCGCGTACGAGTTTAAGCTTTTTTTTATACTTGTTACTTTTAAACGTGTCTTAGGACTCGTTGACCTAAAACTTCTTAACAATCTATTTAAATTGAATGTCGAAACGCTTAAGCATACATTTAAAAATGCATGTATGGCACAAATTCTTAGCTGCGGGAAAATATTGCCTACGCTGAACGGCGTGTTTAACAAATGAACACCGTTCGTGTATGAGTTCTTGAGGTGAACGCGCTTACAATTTGCAAAGTCAAATTTAGCACGACGCGGTTTCGCTAGCTGCAGCTGCCGTATTTTCTTAGGGCAAAACAGTTTCTCTGCAATTTCGTAAATTTCTGTGCATAAACATTTTGTAACAAAAAAAAAGAAAAAAAAAAAAAAAAGAAACATTTTGATGCGAATTCTACGCTCAGATATAAGGATACTCGATGAAAATAAAAAGTTCATTTCACAATTTATCATTGCTTCTATATTGAAAACTTAATGAGAATAGCTCGATACAGTCAAATTACAACGAGTGAAAACATTTTAATTTTATATTTTAATAACCGTTTAAAACTATAGAATACGGTGTTAATTTAATAAAAATGAAAAACAAGTTAAATAGGTTTTACAAATTGTTTATATAAATAGCTTCTTGTATACATCATTAATATGAGCGAGGTGGGCATTCGTCGTATTTGCCGAGACATTGTCCGAGACCTTTGTAGCCAGCTTTGGAACAGAAAACCAATCCGTATGGACAAGGCATACATATGGCACTTTTGTTAACGCAAGCTACGTATCCAGATCTTGGCTTGTCATCGATAGCGTAGTTGTTATCAGCGCGATATATGCAGTCGTTAGTGACGTCAACACCTAAATTCATATGAAAACTAAATAAATACGTTAAGTTTGCATTCTTGACTCAACAACAACAGCAACAACAACAACAACAACAACAACAACAACAACAATAAAAAGATATAAATATTTGAGGTAACCAGTTTTGTTTAAGCGAAATAGCACGTTTAAAAGTTTATAAAAAAAGGTCTCGCCTTACCTAAGCAATAAGCTTTCTTTGGTTTGTAACCATTCTTAGGGTGATACTCGTTATTAGATCCGTATTGACTTTCGTATCCGTTCTCGGGTACATATTCTTTATGAGGTTCAACATAATCATCTGATTGCCATCGCTCGTTGGCGGTGACTGCCAAAATGACTGAGGCGATCAAAATGACTTTGCTAAACATT